ATTCGGTTAAGTGCCCTTGAACCACCTGACACTGTGTTATTGGAGCTTACTGATCGCATACACTTCGAGAGCTTTCTTAGTGAAGATACTCAGTAGTTTCTATTAGACTTCGTGGCATTGTACAGCTTGGACTCGCCGGTAGTAGCTGAGTACTGTGCCATTTGGCAATGGCTACCTGACCAGCCTTGTGAGGAACTTACAGTCTGGCAGACATCCATCTTTGAATTACTCCTTTCATATCATGTGAGACCCGAGTGACGCCTTTCCAGATAGAAAGCGACTCACAAGGTCAATCGATGACTCGTCATGTGACCAGAAATGCGCGACTGAAATTTCATTGATGCTACACGTTGATGAAATCAGCTACACTGCGGATCAGCAGAGTACAATGGAATAGAACTACTAACCAACAGATCATGAGTTTCGTTGTGAGACCCCAGTGGTGGTAATGAATCCCAAGAAGAACAAAACTGCTGGAAGACTATCGAAGAGTTTTCAGTAAACTTTAAATAGTTTTGTTAAAAAAACGGGCGATATCCTGAACAGGGTGCCAACTGAAAGGTGAGTCGGCTCCAGTGAAGCACACCCAGCTGGAGAATATCACAAACGAGAAATTCAGACGGGACTAATTTGGGAACCTTGGGTTAATAAACTCGGGTTGATAAAACCGCGTGTGTGATCTGTGAATTAGCCAAAAGCACTTTCGTTGGGTCCTGTCACAGCTGAAAAGCCAAATAATGGAAGCAAACCTCGAGTCCAGTGCTTGTCCTTTTTGGCGTGGACTTACCAGAACCTCAGGACGATGGTCCAAACGAGTGATGTAAATTTGAGGCCCACAACTTCCGTCAACACTCTCAACTAAAGACTGGAGGCCTGTGGGGTTCTGGTGAAGAAACGCACAAGATTTCAAGTTCCAAATAAGTAGCTGTTTGCTTTGCTACATGCTTTCTGGTTCCCCAATTTCTACCTCGGGATTCTCTCGAATTTTCTAAACTCATTCATTCGGCAACTCCTCAGAAAGTTAAGTTTCAAAAGTTCATCACAATTTGGGTCATCACGAACTTGAGTCCTGCTGTCAACACGTCATTTCCCAGCCACGGATCTCCACTTCCTAGAGGCTGTGTACAGTATTCATTCTAATCAAGGGCTTATGCTTCGAACTGGAACAGCTGACTTTGTCGAGAGCACCCCGAACAAATCAATATTGACCATACCACCGCCTTGCTAGCAAGATCTCTCTACTCATCACATTTTGAATTCCTGATTTAAAATTTTAGCCAAAATGACAAAATAAAATCGCATGTCTCCTCGTGTTCCAAACACAAGGTGAGGCATGTTTCGGGGACGTTTTTTCCTCAATGGAGTTGAACACATTCACAAACCAAAATATTACCAAAAATAAACTAAACTGAATTTCTTATTTATGATCTTTTCTTTAACTGATTGTCAAATGCTACAAAGAAAGACTTCACTTGAGACCCTCGTTACTACAAATCTACACCGCGACTAAGTTCTTAATTCCAGACACTTCCATTTTATCCAGCTACAAGATACGATTTATGGATACTGATGGCCCTTGGTGAGTGTCTCCGAGCGCTCCATCACCACTCAAGATGATATCGTGATTGTGTTGTGGGCACATGGAATGATATAAGACCCACTCACTCAGGTCGACCCTGATCGATCATTGGTCGTTTATGTGAGCAGTTCTGTTGGCCCGTCAGTCGACCTATCTTCCGATTAATGGATGCCTGAATAGCCTTGAGACTTGTCACCTCCGATCCTCACACCGAACTTTCTTCTTTTACCTCCACAATGATCTAATTTCCCGGTAGTTTCCTGCTATTCTTTTCAATTGCTAAATAGCTGAAATTCATTGGCCTGGCTGGCCCGAAAAAGATGAGATTGGCTATCAACTGTTTAAGTAGTGTCACCTCAAAAAGAATAATCTTTCCAGTCTCGCCGTTCTGAATTAATTTTTGGTTTAGAGCGAACCTAGAATCTCTAGAAACACGCTCTCCGGAGAAGTATGTCCATCTAAACAGCGCAAAAAAAATCCAACCCCGTTTACATTCTAAAGCGGACTTGCTTTCACATCTTTTCTCCATTTAGCTGGAGCGTAAAAACTCATAGCAACTGAACTATCATGCCGTTTTTCACAATTTGCTCCAACTGGTATTCTATGTAAAATCTATTTTAGTCAGTTTCGAAAGATAGATAATAGTTGGTTTAAACACAAATAGAACCACTCCAAAAGGCTTTACGTTTACGAAATAATTTCGTGCGTTCTACCGTTTAAGTGCACCATGTATGTACTGATTTATACCGCAAAAGTCGGTCTGAAACCTCACTGTCCTGCATTCAGCACATTTGGAAAGTGCACCTACTGGGAAAATGTTAAGCAAAACGGGAGCAGTGTGGCTGATATCACCTGTTGTTTATTCTCTGAGGATTCCTCCGAACAAACCAAATGTTGATGGGTGCACGCAGGTAGGAAAATGGCGGTTCCACGCACGATATACCAGTGCCTTCACGATAAATTTTCCGGACAACCTTTTTCAATACTAGCGAAAACTTTTCCGCAAGGCGGGTGCACGAAGATTTCAGACAAGACAGCGGCTTCGACGTATTGGTGACCTATTTCACAACTAGAAAAGTACAAAGAAGCTCAACAAGATGTTGAATCTTTTTTAAATATACTGTATCGTCCATTACTTTGACAACTGAAATTCACCGCGTCTTTTCTGTGTCCCTATTTGTAACCCCCGCTCCAACTTTGTGTTTAGTGCGTGTGTATGAACTGAAATTTGCTTGTCCTTGAGGTCATCCAGCCATCTTGTGGCCGACTTTATGCACGTGTTACTGCCTCACGTGGGAGCCTGTTTGCTCATTTGGTTCGTACTTTTGTAGTCCAAGTGGACCGGTTGTTGTGAACGGGTATTTGCGGTCAAGGGATGTACATTTTGTGAACTGATGTCTTACGTTAATAGTACCGCATAGAAACCCAGCCCGGACTTTGTTTCGCCTTCCCGGAGGTTCTGGTATTACGTTTTACTCGCAGATACCGTTTGCCCGTTATATAGACTGTACATTGCACTGTGTGAATTTGCAATTCTGCGGTATCCGAGACGAGTTACTGAACCTTGACGTTCTCTTAATAAACACGGTGCTTGGTTTTCACACATACACTTCTAATATTTAGTGAACAGTTCCTGTGAACCATTCTCAATAGGCATCACGCTAGTAATCTTTGTCCAAGCTAATTCAGTAGTATACTTGACCGATTCGTCATTTTGCTAGGTGAATAAAGTGACACGGATAGGCGAGTCTGGTTGCCATCAGCCGCCTCTATGGTCCATGGTGGCTAAATATGAATGCGGTAGAATGTGATGCCGTCGCCGTTGGACATATCTGGGTCTCAGTTTCCTTAGAATCAGCTATACTGACAAAGCAGTTAACCGAAGTAGCGTTGATGGACGCTTTCGGGCGTCTCCCGAAAAAGTAACCACATGGGCTGTTTGAGAGGGCGGAAACTACTAGGTGCTTGGAGTTTTTACTACGCAGTCAACACCAGAAAACGGATTTTGCAACGCGAACAAAAAGTGGACAACTAGGTCTACTGGCCAAGAAGACTCCGACTCCTGCAGCGGGAAATAAAAGTTCCTGTTTGTATACGCGGCAAAAGCTTCAATCAAACAGTCGCAGCGGATCCGACAAACCTAAAAAACAATGAGTCTCAGTGACAAGAGATGTAGTAGACGTCAAGATAAGATCAGGCCGATGATCTATAGCAAGAACGTCGGTTGCTGATGGTTATGACGGCATTTTGCACAAACTGCCTTTGGGCCCGTGCCAGTCGACTTCCTCAATATACTACAAGTAACCAAGTAAACGCGGTTTGCCAGGACCCAAGTAAGATGGTCTATTCGAATCAAAGCAGTAATAAATCTTGTATTCGATTGATTGCTTGAGCTTGAGCTCAGCTGTAGCGCCCCTTCCGATGCCTAGCTGCCATGCCACCCGAAGAAAGCATGAGGGCTGGGATACTGCCAGGTTGCCCAAGCCTAGACAGGGGAAGTCGAGAGGCGGAGGTCGGGTTCAAACCACGGACCTTCCTGTTAGTAAATTCGCGCTCTAACCACTTGGGCCACCTCGCCCCGTAGTCGACTGAATATACCTGAATCCGATGCAGTGCGCCTCCGCTTTGAGGCCATTCATTGAACTGTATTCTTTGGAAGAGAACTTTTGTTGAAAGTAGTGGTATTCCTCTTCCTTCCGCCTTCACCATATGGAGAAAATAACAGATTTTCTGTTAAAACTAGGCTCTAGGGATCCACTGGTTTTGGATGTAGTCAGGATGCGTAGGTATAATAGAAAGTGCTCAGCTTCCTTTTCAAGTTTGGCAACCAAATGTAAGTGAATACGACTCAAAAGCTGTCCAAATCGGTCCTGGTTTTGCCTGCTATCGAGTGATCATATTAAGGTGTGGTCAGGCCAAGGTGTTGAATAGTGATCTGGCCTATCACTCATAAATTGAACAAGAGAGGATAACGTCTGAGCTAAAAGACTCATCGATGGTGCCAACTGGCCAGTGCACCGTTGCTTTGTACCCGTGGTATGTGTTTGTACGGAGGTACTGAACCACATTTTCGCAGACTACTCTCACTAGAGACCAGCTTTCAGAAGACATCGCCCGCTTCCAATCTCTTCCTGCTAACCTTCAAGGAATGTCAATTTTTCGCTCTAAATTTCGGGTTGGTTGACCCATGAAGGTGAAAGTGTCGTGTAATATAGTCTAACCTCCAAACTCGGTTTTGCTATACATTTCCCGATCGTCCAACCAAATGCGATTTCAATCTGAAACAGAACGTTCAACTTCTATTTCCTTGCCGTTTCTTTTTCTCATTTCGAATGCACACACTCCCCTAGCTTCAGGGTAGAAGTTGGCGAAATTTATGACAACAGATAAAATACATAGCAGTTACATCTGTACGAATAGCATGATACGGTAAGTAGCTCACCAGCTTCCTGTTGGAAAGTGTTCCATTTCTGTGACCAAATCTACACTTCCGTGTATCGATTTTCTCTCTTAGCACTCGAATACGAGTTGAGATGAAAGCCTCTACTTCTACTCGGTTAACTGGGATAAGTTGTCAGTAGACTTCCTCTTTCGGCCTCCCATGAGGCTCTCTTCATAAAAACTATTCACTGAAGGACTTTGTTTTAAATAAAACCTCTGATAATCTGGTGCTAATAATCTCCATTCGACTTCTGATAGCACCTGTGAGCACGTTTCAAACCGTGACTTCGAATTCTCCCAATTCCCTACCCTCCACGCTCATTTCTAGCTGCAACGGGCTGTTTTTGTTGGAAGCACTCTTCCAGACCGAGGATTTCGATCCCCATATGTACAAATTACTGTTTGCAGAAGTTATTGTTTTTGTCATGATTGCATTTAGCAAACAAGTAAGAGACCATCCGCTATTTTCCATCAGATTTGGCACCCACAAGAGGGTGGGTTGCATCTTCTACGAGATTTGAAACAATAACCGTTCTTGCTGTCTGACTGATCGCTCCACCGGGGACCTAATTCGACAGGATCACGTCACTCATTGTGTACTTACAAGTAAATACTTTGGTGCCTCAATCGATCTGTCTAACAGGGTTAAATGATCCCCACAATATTCGCCAAACTAGACTATCGAATACGTGTTTACTTCGGAACCGAAGGGCTGTCACACCAGCTGGTTTTACTTGTCAATCAAGGTCATTTGAAATTCGGCGGTACCAGGTTGCATGAACTGTTTTCTCTGAAGGTCTCATAACACGCTTAATTCAAAGATGCTCCTAGACGACACATCTGAACTGGAATTATTGACTGGGGATGATTATGGGCAAACTTTCGTGCGTATGAACAATCTTAGGCGAAAAAATACTGGCGTTCTTTGGCGAAATACGCTCATCTGCGTACCATTTTTGGTTTTGACTGCAGACCCACCTGAGACCCAGCTGAATCTGTCGTTTATGATAACGCTTTTTCTTAACCATGTTGCGGCAACCCTGAGGTGAATTTGGTTACTCAAATATCTGACTCCATGTTGCTGCAGACTGCTATACAAATATGTCGCCAGTACTCATATGCATTCCATTGTTGAGTGGCCAATGTGATCTTTCTAATGGCATTTTATCAAACTCCAGTTCATGCTGAACTTGGGGCAGTGACAGAAAACAAGCATGTTCCGTGGGACTGTGTAGCAGTTGCCTCTCTCTTGTTTCATTTAGGCCAGATTCACGTAGAATAAAGGTAAACTTCATAAAGGAAACTACTCACAAGGCTGCTGAAAACTTTTCGACAGCCCACGACCGGCTGACGGAAACTCGGGAACTGCACCTACCTGATGAGCCCCAATAGGAGGCGAAACCGGTCTTGGGCTGTCTAAGAGTTTCCAGCAAGCTTGTGAGTAGTTTTCTTCATGAAAATATACTGCGATATCTCGAATATCGTGCCAACTGAAGCATGAGACGACCTTGTGCAGCACATTCAGTTGTGGAGTATCATAAGCGAGAGATTTAGTTGAGTCTTTCGTGGAAACCAAATTGATTTGCAAATGAGTGTATTTCTCGAAAACAGTGCAATTTGGGTTCAAATAAAACATAAGGTTGATGAAAACTCAGGGACTGTCCATAACTGATGAGCCCCAAGTAGGGTGAAACCGGTCGTGGGCTGTCGAAGAATTTTCAATAACCTTATGAGCAGTTTCTTTTCTGAAAAGTTAAGCTAGTTTAATTTTGCCGCTAAGACTACAAACCGAATCATTGGCTCTTGGAGACTCAGATAGATCTCTCCAAATAGAAATACCGCCACCTTATCTTTCAGCTGGAACGGAAAATATAGGATATCAAAGTATTTTGCTTTACCTAAAGCAATGCCTGCTCAAACGGGAATAACATGAGCGTGAATTTTTCAGACCTCGAGGCAATTTACAGTTATTAATAAATGATAGGATTTGAGAGCGAAACAATGGGTAAGGGAGTGAAGAACCCGTTTCACGCAGCATTATGACAGCAGTTTGCGATCAGCCGAAATTCCGTTAACTTTTCCGATGACTGTGTGATGTACAGCACGCAGAACGGGATCAGACAGCTCTGACGCAGAAAATACTCTGTCAAATACGGATTAGCTTGCATACGAGTCCTGTGGACAGAGCACAGTACACTTTCTTCAGTGATTCACGTCATTCTATCTTCTAGACAGATGTTAGTGAACTCCTAACAGCGTGTCCGTTGGTGAAATGTTTGGCCGACTTTACTCTCTAGGCACTGTTGTAACGAGCTTGCTTCCATCCCCTAAATCGAAGAAATCGTGAATGCTGCGTTGAAAATCAAGCTGATAAGCATAGACAGTGGAAGAATGTCGATAGAAATAACCTCGCTGTCAACTCATATTATATTTTCACAAGTGTATTACGTAAGCTGTTCAAGCAACACCAGCGGCAGGTAACGTCTTACAACCAGATGCGCTTTATTCTTCCGCAGGGCATAATACCCCAATGGCTGCCATGCCGTTGAATTGAGTACTAGCCAATCAGGATACACGTGCTTTGTGGGCTTGCTAGCACTCGTCTAAGCATCTAATCTGTGTGTGGTCCCAGTGAACCACATATGGACGGCGCATCATTTGTTTTCAGTCCTATCTGGGCTTGAAACGACTCGTTGTTTGACGTGGTATTTAAAGCGTTCAGCAATGAATGTCTTCTTTTGAAGAGTAGGTAGTTGAACGGCTGTCCAGTTTGGATGCGTCTTCTGAAGACTGATCAGTTCATGGGCAAATCTGCGCCTACAGAAAAACTGGTTTACTCTGCACTCATGAGAATAAACGAACTCAAGGTCTTTGAGGAGGTGGATGAAGCAATTAAGTGTTGTGACTTGTCCTTGTGTCGAATAAAACTAAACAAATTTGCATAGTCGTGGGCGTAGCGGACGAAATTTTTGAAAAGGTTGTCAAAAAATGACCAAGGAGAAATAAAATGTTGCGATTTTTGGTGGTCACGATGGTACTTGCATCGAGCAATCAGCTGACAACTTTAACTATGTACGGAACTCCGAAAGTCGACAATAACGAAACGACAAAATGGAACACGCATAAATTTCGTGGTTATTCCAGCTTTCGACTCCATAAGAAATAGAGCAAATTAAAATTTAATCCCTCAACTGTAGCATTCTTGCGGTGGCTATTTGCCACGAATCTTGAAGGAAGCACAAGAGCTGTTTGCCACATCTAGACAAGAGCAGTCGAGAAGCCGGGGTGGGTTCGAACCACGAACCCTTCGGTCAGTAAGCTCACACCTCAGTTGTTGACCTAACTCAAGCTCGTGCAAATGAAGTAGCTAGCAACTAACATTCTTACCCAAAGTTCATTCTGAATCAGGATAATGCGGTCAAAAGCCTACGGACCCCATGCGGCTGCACTGAACGAAGCGCGCAATGTCAAGGTCAAAGAGTGTCAGCCGTTCGGTGAAGGTCAAATACTTGTTTACGTTTGACTCGCAAATAGAGAGGATACTGTCCTTGTACAAAACAGGAATAGAGGACAAGAACCAACGGAAATTCCATTTTAGGTTTTTACAAAGATACTCATTGAAAGATTGACTGATTCAGTGCAGAGGCTGCTGACATTAAGGTACAACACCGTGTTAGCAATTTTCTGCATTCAACTTAGTCCAGCAGGGTTTTCCTCTTCAGA